ATAATATTTTCTTATACTTATTTACTTGCGTTTCTTAGAATGTACTACTGGATTTTGTATAGAAACACCATATGTTTCTTGAGAAATACGATTCATATAATAAAGTGCAATCATAGAGAATATTAAACATGTTGTGGTAGATACACGATGAATCAGAGCAGAAGCAATTAGGCTCAAAGTCAGTGAAAAAACCACTGTAATAAAATAATAATACATTAGTGTTACGCATAATATCTGTGCTTAAAAAAATTGTTTTTATATGTATATGTTTTATATATGTACTAATTTAAGTAATTCACTTCATGTTGAGTAAATAATGTAAATGCTACTTCTATACATACCTTCTGGAAGTAATTTCTGTTGAAAGGACTTTCCAAATAAAGTACTTTCAAGATTTCCCACAGCAGTTAATGTACACATGAACAATAATGATCCGACCCATCCTCCCAATACAGTCCCCAACTGTGATGAACCGAGCCAAACTTTGTACATTTGCATTCCAGAGAATAGTAGTACTGTCAATATCGAAGATAACACAAATGAGACTCCACTGCTAACAGCTGTAACGTAATAAAAGGTTAGTATTAATAATGATATATCAAGATATTAAGAAAAATTGTTGAACCATAATATAGCTGACATGGCACTTAATATGTAATAATGTTATACTTTTCTTTTGATTCAAAATGTATTATTTGTCAAAATTTTTTCATACAATATTCAAATAATTTTGCAGATTTAAGTGTGCCAGTACGTACCCATGTTTGCTAAATAATTATAAAATCATGAACACTTTCTTTTTCTTCTCTTTATACAATGGAAATTATACAAATTATATATATAATTCCCTACTTAAATTGCGATTAATTACAGCTTGTGTAAATTTAAGCGGCTTTTATTCTACAGAAAAAATCTGAAAGAATTGTAAATAATCAAGAAATTTAGAATTATACGAAATATTATAGAAGTAATTGATTCTTGTGCTGATTATTACTGAATGCCTGAACGATCTAAATGCCACTGAATCCAAAATCCAATGGAAATTGATGAAACTTCAGAAACGCCCTCTGCATGTTGGATTAAGGTTGCGTTCGGGAAGACGCTAGAAATCCTTCGAAGCGTTTGATTAACCAATCAGGACAAAAAGAGTAACAACTTCTTTATTCTGATTGGTTAATGCTATGCTTCGAAGCATCTCTAGCATCTTTCGGACCGCAATCTAAAATAGCATTATTGGACGAACTGTAATTGGTAGTTCGCACACGCGAAAATTGTTTGAAATGTATGAAATAGTTTCAAAATTAGGAGAATTTCGTTCGTGCTGTGTAACTGTGTATGTGAGCATTCCAGAGTGTTCTAGAGTCTAGAGCGAGCTCTTGTGCGAGACAGTTAGAGACAAGATTGTCAGAGACGGTAGACGGTAATAAAACTTTGTGACTACGCTGTAATTGCAAAGTCGTTGATAGTATCACTGGCAATCAATTTGAGGAAGGCAATTTTTCAGAAATATTGACGGATATAAACTAAGACAAAATGAGTAAAAGAGGTACGTGAAGTAATTATATGCGATCGTTATGAAGATTATCTTAGCTTATAGATTACTCGCCTAAGTTGCATCATCCAATATAATTGACATATACAGTTTTTTAATGATAATTTATATAGCATATTAGCATTATTTGGTAAGAAAAAAAAAGAAACGTTAGTATATAAAAATTATGTGAAATAAATAATGGATCTATACTTCTTAGAATATATTTAGTCTACAAAAGTAGTTCCATATTTCAAAGTTATGATAACAACATCTTTTCAAGGTTATAATAACAAACAAAAGCCAATACAGAAGTTTTGATTTTATCTTTAAAGTGTAATGTATTCACGCTGTCATTATCATGTATACTCTGAGACAAAATCAAGGGGATACTTATTTTTGAAAAGAAAAACATATTTAACCTTTTCATAATGAATAGTTGAACTAAAATATATGTCACTGACAAGTGCAAATCTGGAAACTTAGTTAATGTAGGCTGTTTAAAATATGTATACATATAAAAATGCATATGAATATCATCAGGTTTACCTTCAAAGCAACTACCACCAGATTCATCTTTGCAGCGGCAAGAATCACTAGATTTATTTCCACAGCAGCAACAATCAGATTCATCTCCACAACAGCAACCACTAAGAGATTTACGTCTACAGCAGCAACAACTAAGAGATTTACATCTACAGCAGCAACCACCAACAGATTTATTTCTACAACAGCAACCATCAGATTTACCTTCATCACAGTTTTGGCAAAATGATGCAAGGGGCCGACACTTGCGGCAAGATGAAGCACGGGGCCTACAATCGCGGCAATCACTACAACAAAATATAATACCAGGCTCATATATTGTTAATCAACAACAAGGCTTTCATTATCAATTTCAACCACATCAAACATCAAATTTTCAAGAGCAACTACAACCAGATTCATATTCACAGCAGCAACCACTAAGAGATTTACGTCTACAGCAGCAACCACCAACAGATTCATCTCTACAGCAGCAACCATCAGATTTATCTTTCTTGCAAGATGAAGCACGGGGCCTACCATTATGGCAATTACAACAACAAAATATGATACCAGGCTCATACATTGGTGATCAACAACAAGATTTTCATTATCAATTGCAACCACAGCAAACATCAAATTTTCAAGAGCAACAAAATTTATATATGTCATATCCATATGCAAGAGGATATTATCAATATCCTTCACAGAATGTAGAACGGAACCAAGAATGGCAGCCACACTACTCGCATGGAGTATTAAATTTAGATCAACAATCGGTACAAGAAGCAAACTACCTATGGAGATCACCAAGGCCAAGATTACAGCAAAGCACATACAATCAATCACGACATCAAATATCACATAGCCTACCTCAACAACAGCAAGTACCACAATACTCACTTCAACAACATCAAGTAATACAGGCTCAACAATTACGACCACAAATATCACAGGATCTATTGCATCAAGTACCAGCAAATCCATTCCTACAGCAAAGTACATTGAGGCAACAAGTACCTCCAGTTTTATTACAACAGCAACAGCAATATAGTTTCTCTCAACAGCATGAAATCAGAGATCAACAACAAAGAATGAGGGGCCAACAACAGCAAGGAATTCAGACTCAATCACACCAATATTTTGAAGCAGAAATTGATAATGCCAACTATGATGAACAAACACAAGTTGTAGAACAAGATAATGATAGAGCTAAATCCAATATGGAACAACAGCAGCAGGCAACAAAAAATATTATATCTGCGGTAAGACAATTAAATATTATATAGTTATAAAGTTAATTATTTATATAGTTATAAGTAGATTATAAATAGATTTTGAGATCTAATATATCATTTTTGTCAATTCATTTTTCTTCGTTTTTCTTTTTTTCAGCTATCTCAACTTACATTAAAGCAAACTTCTCAAGAAACAAAAATTACACAAAAAATATCTTCCATAATGAAACAATATCAAGCCTGTATACCGAAAAGGCAAGGTGTTAAAAAAGCTGAAGGAACACATATAAGTGTTTTGACAAATATGTTTAAAATTAAGTTTAATGGAAATTTTACTAATGCTGTTCATTATGATGTAGATATTACATCTACTGTTTCAAGCAAGTTTCCTAAAGCTTTATATAGAAAAGTTTTTGAAAAATGTAGAAGTGAACATTTTACTAACAGATATCCGGCATTTGATGGAAGAAAAAATGCATACAGTGCAAAAGATCTTCCTTTTGGCAGTCATGTAAGTGATGTATAACATATAACATGTAAATATTTTTTTTTAATAATAATGCAATCTATTATATACATATTAATAAATTAAAGAATTTATTCCATCACTAATTATAGAATAAATAGGAATTACAAAATAAATTTTTCATTTCTTTTAACCATAAAAAAATAAGATAAATTTTTTCATTATTTTGCATAGTTGGAAACTGATATTAAAATCCAGGATTATAAAAAACAATGTAATAAACAATGTGATAAACAATGTGATAAACATGTGAAGATATTTAAAATTATCTTACATAAAGTAGCTAATATCGACCTTAGCTGGATGAAAAATTTACAACCTGGTCTTGATGAGGTTGACAGAGATCAAACTGGTATACAAGTTCTAGATATCATCATGCGTCATGGACCCGAATCACAATATGTAAATGTAAGCAATTAATAGTAATTTTATAGTAATTATGAATGTAATTTATATATTAATTTTTATATTAATATAATAAGTAAATGATTCATAATAAATTAATTATATATTTATATGTTAAAGAATGGTACGTGCATATAATATTGTTTGAATTATTTTCCTGTTCATAAATTTATATTTATATTTTAGACAATAGAATTACAATAGAATTTAATAAAGAAGATATATATATATAATAAATTTATGAACGGAAAAATACAGTCAAACAATATTATATGCACACACCATTCTTTAACACACACACAGGTATATATATATATATGTGTATATGCGCGCGTGTGTAAACACAAATATATATGACATAAAATATACTAGCGATAGAATATAAAATGTTATGTATTATTATAGATTGGAAGATCATTGTTCTGGGATCTTGGTATAAAAGAAACACTAACTAATTTAACTGGTGGTTTAAGTTCAGCACGCGGCGGATTTTTATCCGCCGTACTTGGCTGGCAAATGTATTTAAATGTAGATGGTAAAGTATCATTAATTAGCAAATCTAAACACATTGTTAAAGCTTTTACAAGAATTTAAAGGTGTAAACTGTGTCTACATTAAATATCTTTGTTGATTTATATGTAATATTTTTTATATTTTTTTCTCTTTATTTAGTTGTTCATAAAGGATTCATCACGCCTCAGAAGGTTGCCGACTTAATAAATGAACTTGATTCAGAAATGAAAAGGAATACTGAGAATAAAGAAAATAATAATAAAGCTATTGCTAAATTTTTGAAGGGTTTAAAAGTGATTTACGAAGTGCCCCAACAATCTGATAGTCGATCTCGTTTGAAGCCCCGGACATATCACTTAAATGGATTAGGTCCAAATGCTAATGAACATAAATTTCCTTATAAGGGATCTGATATCACAATAAGAAAATATTTTGAGAATCGTTATAAGTACATCTTGCGTGATCCCAATTTACCTTGTCTTTCGGTAGGCGCACAAGGAAACGAAATTTATTTGCCTGCCGAAGTGCGTAAGCCGCTTTTATATTTGCTACAAATGATCTAGTAATACTAATTAAACTATCGCTCAAATCTTTATAGTTATGTACTGTTATGGCTGGTCAGTCTGTCAAAAAGTTGAACAAGATACAAACTTCTAAAATGATTACAGTAGCAGCAGAGAGTGCACTTAAACGTCGCCAAAGGATAAAAGAAGCGGTAAAGCAAGTTTAATATCGTTATATAAAAAATGTTACATTATAATTTATTTTCTGTTTATTTGTAGTTTAATAAAATCAATGTAAATATTGATCCTACTATGAGGCAAGAGTTTCGATTGTCTGTCAACACAGAAATGGAAAAAGTGGATGCTAGAATCTTAAAAGCTCCGATATTAAAATATGCTGATGCAGAAGTGCCTGTAAATAACGGAAAATGGTATATGAAAAAATTTATGCAACCTATGAAATTAAAAAATGACGAATGGACTATTATCAATTTGGATAAATCTCACAAATTTGTCGCACATCATAATATGTGTGTATTTATGGAAAATTTAATAAGGATTGGTAAAGTATATGAAAAATAAGTTAAAATGTTAAAGTTTTGTGTTATGTGACATTCCTAAAAATACATTGTACAAATAATATACTTAATAGCTACAATCCGAAAAAAAATATATGTTAATTCGTGCAACTGTAAATTTAAATATTCGAAAAACTGCTATTTTTAATTATGTATATTGCATTATATATATTACTTTTATATTAATTTCTTTTTTTGTGTGTTCAGCGAAATTTGTTGGTATGGAGATAGAAAGGCCCAATACTAAAAATTTCAAAAGTTTAGACCCGGAAAAAACAGAAGAAATCAGAAACTATTTTGAGAATAATAAGGCATTAAAACTGATAATAGTAGTCATATCAAATTCCCCAGACACAATATACAGTGAGTATACAGTATTTTTAATATTTTTTAATTCTAAATAAATTAATTTAAAATTATTTATGTCTCTCTCTCTCTCAGACAAGATTAAACAGATTACCGAGTTGGAACTAGGTGTCTTGACACAATGTATAAAATATCAGAATATCTGTGAAGATAACAAGAGCACAACAACAATAAGAAATATTCTATTAAAAATAAACACGAAATTAAACGGCATTAACCATATACTCTATACGAGGTGAGTAATATTTGTACCTTACTATTTTACAAAGATATACTTTTTAACAATCTCGAAAAAAAAATTTTTTTTATTTTTTATCTTTATCAGACCAAAATGTTTTAATAACGTTTGTATGCTTGTGGGTGCTGATGTAACTCATCCATCTCATGATGAGAATACACCTTCTATTGCAGCAGTAAGCATAATTATTAAACATTTGTGTGAATATACATGCATTAATGGAAATACTATTAATTTAGGTTACTGCAAGTTGTGATATGTTCGGTTCCCAGTATAATGTTGTGCATAAACTTCTACAACCCAGGGAAGAAATAATCTTAGATCTTGAAGAAATAATAAAATTTCAACTGGTAATTTATCGAGAAAAAACATTGTGTCTACCAGAGAGAATCATCTATTATCGGTGTGTAATTTCGTATTCAATATATATGTAATATTATTAAAACATTAAAATATCATGTTTCCTGTTATATATATTTACAATTGCATATTTATATTTTAATGTATAGAGATGGAGTTAGCGAAGGACAATTCCCACAAGTCATATATTACGAAATACAAGCTATTAAACGTGCGTGTAAGGCACATAAGGCTGATATTCAAATTACCTGTTTAGTTGTCCAGAAGAGACATCACGTGCGTTTTTTCCCCATAGACGATCAGATGTTAAAGAGCAACAGAAAGCCACAAAATGTAGAAGCGGGCACGATTGTCGACACTGACATTACTCACCCAGATCACATCGATTTTTATCTCGTCTCACACGAGAGCATTAAAGTAATGTTATTGGTTACAAAAATATATTTGTTTATATAATTATATATTTCAATGTTAGAAAGAAATATACTGATAGAAAACTTTTCTCATAATAATAATTGATTAATAATTAACTCTTAATGTAAACAGTTGTAATAATTATAATAATCTATTTTAAAAAACATTATAATTAAGTATGTCAGAGTAACCACAATTTTATGCAATAAAAACATTTATTTTTTTGATCATTAAATATAGTTTAATAAACTATATAGTTTAATAAACTAATACTGTCAATGCTACATATATAGGGTACTGCAAGGCCTACCAAATACAGATGTATATGGAAAGAATCTAATTACACTGAAGATGACATAGAAGAATTGACATATTATCTATGTCATATGTACGCACGGTGTACAAAAACAGTTAGTTATCCAGCGCCGACTTACTACGCCCATTTGGCAGCATATCGTGCAAAAGTTTTAATACAAGGGTAAGCAATTGATCACAATATAAATTGGTCATCAATTATGACATTAGTAACTTATGGCAATATTTTTCTATTTGCAGACGTAATTTAGTTAATTTAGAGATGATACAGCAAGAATTTAATAAAAAAATGATAAATTCACCAATGTATTTCGTATAAAGAATTTTATATAAGATTGTTTTGTATTTAAAGCTTGACATATCTAGTCAGTCCTACTTTTTTTCAACATTAACTATCTTGTCTATGTATTTCCAGCTTTTCTATTTAAGAATCCAATACAACAAAAGAAGAAGAGGAAATTGTGATATTATGTATATATAATTTTATTTTTCATAAAAAAATAAAATTTATAAGAAGTTATAAGTATATATATTCTATACTCTTTTTTTCTTTTTTTGTTGTTGTATGTGGTTTTATATTTTTAGGATAATATGCAGTATTTTTATGTATATTATTATGACAATGTTTAGTTCACATATTTGTATGCATTGATTGTAAACTTATCATGACAAAATATGATTTTAACATATGCAATTGCACGTGTAAATAAATAGATCAATTAATAATATTTATATTACTTGCGCGTGCGTATGTGTGTGTGCGTGTCATATCAACCAGTCACATTCAACAGTCAACCACAAAATCACATTTGGATTTTGGATCCTGGCCTCCTGGCGTTCCACGTTCCAGCTCGTGCATGCAATCAATAAATAAATTAATAATCACACCTTGTTTTGTGCAATACTGATAATTTTTCAAAATTACGAATGAAGGATGATTTGTATAAATGATAGAACAGGATCTAGGAACAGAAACGCTTTATAGCTTGTAATTTGTGATCGTTTAACGTATAACCTATAACGGCAACTTTATTTGCTCGATATTGCTCCATACACATAATCGGATTTCGTCTCCAAGAATGTTTTGGATTTAATACGCGTATATTAAGTTCTATACATCTGAGATTTACTCTTGAAGTTGCACACCTCGAGCGGAACGCATCTCTTGTAGGAAATAATGCAACGTACAACGCGCGGGAAAATTCCGCGCGCTAAAGGATCATCGCAAAAGTGCACCAAGACAATAAATTGTCATTCATCGATAAACACATGGGTATTTCTTATGAAAGGTAAACTACTAGATTATGAACAATTTATTGTTGTTTGGTTATTATTGTTGCGATTAATTAATATTCTCTCTGGCAAATCGTACTTGTCACATATACAAATAGTTTCTAAGCTGTATATTTATATATATAAAAATATGTTTATATTTTTTAGGAGATAGCCTGGACAGCTCAAATGTGGCTCAATCAGAGATTGTGAAACTTAGACATCCAGCCTCTAATAAGCCAACTATATTTGTATTCAGTCCTGGTAATCTCACAGTGCAAGAAGTTTTAATCTTTGACGAAACTAAAAGGTCTTGGTTCATTGACAATAATGTCAAATCTGATGGCAAGTTGTACTTGTCAACATCAATTGATCCAATCTTTTTAGTTTTGCCGTACCTAAGAAAGGTAAATATAGGACTTTAATTAGTAAAATTATTTAAAATTAATGTCTTTATGTAGACATTATTAATATCTAGTATTTAAATGTAAAAAAATGAATATTTTATAGTCACAACTGGCGCAACCTTTAGAGCAATGTCTCTGGGACGAGGATTTTCCAGAAACATATCGCCTTGCACAATGTGAAAATTTGAAATTGGGGTTAGTTGCTGATTGTAAAGGAGATAAATCATTACAAGCTTTCAAGTTTAATGAAGACAAATCATTAAAGTGGTTGAAGGAAAAAGTAGAAAAGGTGGCACGTTTATTGGAGCAAAAAGGAGTTCACGTGTCTCAAGGTGCTATGAGTGCTACTTATGTTAAGAGTACTAAATATGAAATTGGCACAGAGACAGGTAAAAAAACAAGATAATTATAAATTACGATTACAATATTTAATAAAAAAAATATAATGAACTGAATAAGATTAAACATTTGAAAATTTCTCAATGTCTGTTATATTTTAATTGAATAATGTGACAAAATCAAAATCGATTTTCTTGAAATTATTATCTATAAGAAAAACTACTTTATTAATAAAATATATTTTATATACAACATTAAAACATATTTTTTTTTATAGAATATTTGAAATATGCGCATGGAATTGTATCTGAATATCTTGCTGAAGATCTCTCACAGAAACTGGCACAACATTTGAATATATCCGATGAAATAGATAGTAAAAAACGCAAACTAGATAGTCCTAAAAATGTAACTAATGAGAAAAAACTTAAAAGAGATTCCTTTGAAGAAAGCCCACTGAAAGCAAAGACAAAGAACTTATTAAGTAAACCTGAAAAGGTCAGTTATTTTATAGTTATAATAACTAATAATAAATATCAATTTGCAACTAAAATTTATCAACAATTTTTTTCTATTTTAAGATTGCAGCATATCTGCTTTTATTTACAATTATAAGGCGTTGCAAAGTCTATAGACGATTTTCGCAACATCATGTTTTTAAACAAGATTATGCAATTTAAATATCTGTAAATTTTCTTTTATAGGTACAGAAAAACATTGCTCCTGGTAAAAAGGAATTAGCTAGACAAAGAGCAGCTGCAGGATCTAAAAGCATTACTAGCTTTTTCCAAAAAAAGTAGATCTTACAATACAAAGATATATATATTACAACAATTTTATAAATTATAATGCCATTTATAAATGCCTTTTTCAATATGTCGAAGTTTTTATAAATTTTATTGTTTTGTATAAAAATATGTGTTTAAAATAACATCAAAGTTGAAAATTGCACTATTATTTCATTGACGAAATTATGTATTAGGAAAAGAATAGTTTTTTCCAATAGTTTTATGAATTTTTAGGTATAGTTTAAGTTTAAATGCAACACAATAAATGCAATTTGATGAATCATTTTTTATTTATTTTAATCTTTAATTATGTATTGAAACATTCTGCATCTAGAACACAATAGGTTCGTTTTGTTTGCATTTTTTACTATTCAGATTCTCCGTTTTCTCTTTTTATTTCTACATTTATAATCGATTCCGATTTTTTTTATAGCTTTTATAAACATAAAACTTTGTTCGCGTCTGTGAATATATATTTCAGCGTTGGAAGGAGAAATCAAAGAATTTGAGTATAGAAAATGCAAGCAATATGTGGGTGCGTTCCGTTTCACGCATTGAGCGCATAGATCGCCTGGAAATCTATAGTTCACGTAACATATATTATAGATTTCCAGGCGATCTATGCGCTCAATGCGTGAAACGGAACGCACCCTGTAAATAGATCTATGTAGAGAAAAACAGGAATTAAGGAGAGATTTTTTAATTCTTATATTGGTAACACTGCGTTAGAATTTTATCCCTAGTGCAGTCCCGAGAACTGTCAAGCGTTTGGATTTGGATCAGATGATCAGATATGCCAGACATGCCAGACATGGAAGCTGACGATCGGGGGCAGAGCGACGATTATTATCTGGAGTTGTCTGCTGATCCTATCAGGTTCGAATCAGTCAGCTGCCTCACGAATGTGTTTTTCGATGATTCGAAACAGCAAGTTAGTCGATTTTCTCAGTTGATGAAAAATTTTTTATCTCTATTTCTGATATGATAAAAATTAATCTGCACACAGGTATTTGCAGTTCGCTCAGGTGGTGTTACAGGAGTGCTCGTTAAGGGCCCGGACCAGAACTTAAGTTTTCGGATGGAGGACAGAGGCCCGGTAATATCTATCAAGTTCTCTCCTGATATGAACGTTCTTGCGATTCAACGCACTAATTCATCAGTGGAATTTGTCAATTATTCCTCTGTATCCGGCTTGGATCATGTTGAGTACTCTCAGCCATGCAAAGGAAAGAACGCCACAATATTGGGTTTTGTTTGGACACATGGCACTGAAATACTTGTAGTCACGGATCATGGTGTAGAATTGTTTCATGTAAGAAGTTTTTATACTTTTTCCTTTCTATTAATTAGAGAATTATATTAGTCAATATCAAAGTCAATGCTGTTGTTTCAGGTTAATCCAGAGAAACGTACTATTAAAGCACTAAAGTGCTTAAGTTTAGGGGTAAATTGGTTTGTATTCTGCCCTAAAAGTTATTTAGTATTATTATCATCTGGCACAGTTGGTAATCAAATACAAGCATTGAATGTTACACCTGGGAATCTTCATAAATTAACTAAGTTCGAAAGTTAGTAAGAGACAACAAATATGTTTAAGTATATTTAAGTCAGACAAATTATTTTTGCATCTGTGATATATTTCAGTTGAGCATAGTATAACGAAACCAGGGAAACTGGCTGTTTCTGAAAGAGATGTTGCATTGGCTGTATTATATGGAACGCCTTGTATAATTTTGTTAAGGCATCAACCAGGAGCTAACCGCTCAATGGGAACAGCATTTGTATACATTTATACTGTACATAAGTAAGATTTGCTTTCTATTACTTTAAATGTAATAGTCAATATCTACGTCAATATATATTATATTATAATTGTCTTCTTGTGCAGGATGATGACTATCAAAAAGAGTCATATGTTAAAATTGGATGTTAGTGGCAGATTTGCTATAAATGTTGTTGATAATCTCATCATTGTTCATCATCAAGCATCAAAGGTATTACTATTATATTATATTACCATTCAATATAAATAAATTTATTTAGAATAGCAGAGTTTAACTGTGTACTTTTATATAGACATCAATGATATTTGATATCATGTTGTCTGGGGTGAGTGATGGGACAGTAATGCATCATACCAGTGTAACTATGGCAAAACCAATTAAACCATTTAATCTTAAAGTACCGGGTACAACCTTATCCGATCAGATGTATCAGCCATGTCAGTTATGTATCCTTTCATTTAAATATATATCTTATGTTTATGAGGATTTAAGTATAATATTTAAATATTTATAACAAAATTATCTTAATGATCTAAATGTATTGAGTCTTAATATTACATAGATTCTCCTAATTGGGTTGTTTTTCAACCAAATATAATAATTGATGTAAAGTTGGGTTGTTTATGGTATGTTTGTATTTAATGCTTCTTATTTTGAATTATTTGTATATTGATGTACGAGTTTTTTTATTTATTAATATCAATACAGGTATATCGAGCTCAGATTGGAAGCTTTGGTGAAATTAATTACAGATAAAGTACTCCTTGTAGAATTTTTAATGCAGCGGTCGAATGCTAAGCAGATATTAATACAAGTCTTGCAGAGTCTTATGACGCAGTTACCTGTAAGCTTAATGGAGATGCCAACTATATTTGATAAACTTAATTTTGTATACAGAAATTATCTAGAAAGCGAAATACAAAATCAGGTAATACTAAATTGAATTCTTTTTGCATATGATAATTAGAACACAATATATTATCCATATTATTTATTTATCAATTTCAGATGGGAACACCTTTGCAAAATAATGTAAAAAATATAACAATAGTGGCTGAAAATTTTAAGTATAAATTATTACTCGATCAAAGCGACATGTACAGTCATATATTATCCAAATTTCCTGAAGACACAATAGACCCAAAGATGATAATATGGGTTCTGCTTGAATATATCAGGTATATAAAAATTATAATAGCTGATAACTCAGAATAAATTCAGTTTATTTTATTTTTTATAATTGTATCGGATTTCATATAGATCATTAGCTGAACATGGAATACCGGTGCAACATTACTTGCACGAATTGATCATCACAACGCTGGTACATCGAAAGGCTTACTATCAGCTCCATCAATTGTTACAATATCACGTGGTCGCTGATTCGAAGCCTTTAGCCTGCTTGCTACTTTCTTTGGAGAACTTGTATCCGGCAGCACATCAGTTGGCATTGGATATGCTGAAGCGATTGGGCAACGCACATGAAGAGATAATTGAAGTGCTCTTATCTAAAGGACATATTTTGGCTGCCTTGCGGTAATTTGGAAGGTTATATCTTGAATTCGAGATGACATTTGGATATAATAATATGTCTACATTTTTTAGATACATTCGTTCAGTTGGGATGGTAGATCAGATATCTGCAAGAAAATTCTTAGAGGCGGCGAAAGCTACTGACGATGCGACACTTTTTCATTCGGTTTTCAAGTTCTTTGAACAACGCAATTTGAGATTGCACAATACCACGGCTTTTACAAGAGGAGAACATTGTCAGCCATATGTCCAGTATTTCAAATACCTATTCCATGGAACAGACAATGAATGCAATTCCGACACGAACTCGAATGTTACCACTATTTCTTCATAGGATCAATATTAATGTTTGTATAGCATATATAAAAGCAATAGGTAGTAATTTATCTCTTTATTTTTATTTATACACATGACACACACACACATACACACATATGGGTTATTTATTATTGAAGAGAGAGAAGAATAAGAAAGAAAGAGAAACTCAATGTTTGTAGTGACATGTGTAATATTTATCTATCAGAGTAATTTTCCATTTTCACTTTTTTACTCTAACAAAATCCATGTTGCAAGATTCTCTTTAGTGCGTAAATTTTATATTCAAGATTTCTACAAAGTATATAAAGTTTCTTTAATAATATTTGATATAGTGAGACTTTCTTTTAATGTAAATGAAATATAATCAAAATTAATTTCTTTTTTACAAAATAATCAATTTTGTAATCAAATCCGTTTTTCTTTTTTGATATATTTTGGGATAATATTACACACATACACACAAGTTTTTTAATTAATAACCAATTATAATCGTCTTTTGTGACATTGTATGGTAAAAGGTAAATGAGTTGGTCGCCAATCAATGTTGAAGTACAATATTCAGTGAAGTTGTGACAACAGGAGGATGTTAAATTGTGTAGATATCAAGTGAAAAATACAGTAATATTTATGTATACTAAATATGATTGGTTGCAATAAGTTATAGATTATACGGTAACAGGTGCTGCATTTTTAATTAAATCTAGAGAGTGATAATGGAGTGGATAGGTGAAAGTGGAAAATATATACTTCAAGCAAATCACAAATGCAAGTGCTTTTTTATTACGATTAAGCCGCAATTGCAACTGAATAATGTCGAACGCACAGTTCTATTAACTAATTAGATTTGCGCGATTGCAAAAATATTCAAGTTGTCAAAGTAGCATGCACTTTGACAAAACAAAGAATTGCGAATGAAGTGCTTACACTTGAAAAAACTGTGAGATACTTAGAGATTGGTCATAGAAACATATTGTGCTTTGTCTGTTTCATCTACGATATATCTATTATTTGCGGTAAGTCAAGCGACTCCGGAATTGTTTACAATTATTTGATTTAGAAAATAAATTGCGACCTAATAAAACCATTTGCTATCCTCTGTAGATCAGTTTTATTTTAAAACGAATTTTTTTTTATTTGTAGTATTCGGAAAATATTCTAGCGCAAAAGAAATGTCTTGGGCTGCATTTTTCGATTGTACAATTTTTCATCTTTTTACATCAAAAAGGTTTTAATCTGCAGGATTACTATGGAATCAGTGATCAAATATGAAATTGGAGATATTAACATCTTATTTCTTGCAACGATATATACCGCAATTTTTTTTTTAAGAGAAAATGTTTATCTTTATTTAAAAAATTCAGGAATAGGAATTCTAATCCTGCTTTTAGTTTCAAAGTGTATATGTATTTAACTTTGTTAATAAACAAAATCAATTGTCTTATAATATTATCGATTCCGGTCCGCCTGATATCGTGCGATTTTTTATAAGTACGATGGAAACATGTAAATGTTCAATCTAATTTATGCGACAAACCGAAAAATTGAAACATTAATATAGTAAATTATATGATTGAAAGCAGAACAGATTGAATATCTCTCATTAACGCATAAAAATAATGAGGATATGTCGACGAATAAAATTATTATTATAAGTAAGATAAATTTATATATGTATGTGTGTATATATGTATATATGTATGTATATATGTGTATGTGTGTGTGTGTGCGTATATATATATATATATATATATATATAAGTAAAATGTGTAAAATATGAATATAATAATATAAAATATAATATTATTCTTGAATAAAAAATATTAGGTAAACTTTTAAACTGTGCGTACAGTTTTCAAAGGGTATCTCAGAAGTAGTAGAGAATTTCTAATACAATCTATAATATATAGATACACACGATATCGCGCCGATTACCGATAACGTATACAGTATCATCTGGGAAAACATACCTAACTACATTGAAGGTTACGGCATTAATTATTTACAGGGACATCATTACCCGGCCATTCCGCTTGTTTGCGCGCGAGATTAAGCTTAAGGAAATTAGGAAGAGGATGCTTATATATACACAACACTTCTCGCAGACTTCGAGAAGAAGGGTGGAGCGTGTCTTTGACTTCTATGCGACGATACAAAGTGAGCAGATTAAAAGTGAGTACTCGTATACATAAGAGATATATTGTATCGTTGCAAAAATTCCGATAAATTAACAATTGAAGATAATAATTATATTTGTATGCCTTTCTGTGTACATTATCCGTTCTAATTAGAAGGTACTCGAAATAGATTCCGGAAAAAAATTGATTATTATTCGTATTAATTGCTAAACGTCATTGTCCCATTTTCATGCAAAAAACGATTTTGTTACAATCTTTTTAAGATCAGGTTAACAGCTTTTGTCGATCAATCTCTTATGCAGATCGAAATTCTAAAGATTGATCGATTTTTGGTCCATTGTAAATATTTAAATATAGACTGAATTATATTCGATCATCATTTAGAGTATGTGTTTCGGATATAAATTATGGGTGCGGAAGAAGCTTAAGTAAGATACGAGTAAAAAGTTTAATAGGTCTACTCCAAGAGAAATCTGTTGAGATTATGCGCAAAGTTTTATGGACACAGAAGAGAATGTTTGCTGCAATAGTTATAACAAAATTACATTTGTATATCGTCGATAAACGTGCAAGATCTTCTAGATATAACTTTGCAGCCTGTCTTTTGAATCGTTTAAATCTTAGACATCTATTTGGATTTTAATCTAATTTCAATACTTTTTTATATTTTATTATGATTTTTCCACGAAATTGTATCTTTCCTGCTATGTGTATATATTTTTCTTTTGATTTATATAATTATTTTAAAGAAATTTTCTGAAAAAATTTGGGTCTTATTTTCTAAACGCATATAGTGAAATCTCTAACTAAATCTCTATATTTCGGATGCTTTGAGAAATTAATTGTATTTTTCTTTCTTGCATGTTGCACGTTTATCGACGATAAACATTACATGAACATTTATACAAAGGAGATAAAACTGATAGAAGTAGTATATGGATTTCTCGCATTAAAATGTCAAAATACAAAATTTCACGCATACATTTGCGCGGAACATTCGTGAGATACTCACTAAGCATATTTTCATGACCTTTTTTTCAACAATGAACTTACGCAGAACATCTCATGATTTCAGTTCACTTCGCTGAACGTACCTTTCACCTTTATAATTTCCTCTTGGTCGCGCGAAAAATATCTTAATAGGACGGTTATTAATATTCGTAATCTAGTCGCGTTACTTAACAGAGCGGCGATTGATCCTTTTTTTAGCTTGCGTCTTTATCAATTATCGTCTTAATCAATAATCTCCATTTAAATCCAAAAAAAATTGCTTTCTGCTCATATTTTTTAGATAGTTTAAACTTTCAAGCGTGAATTACTCCAATAATATTAAAAATATTGCCGTTAAAGTAAAAATACTAAACAGCTTGATAATTGACATAAGTATAAAAATGAATGGTAATATTTTAATTGATATTATAATCATTTTGCAAAAATCTTGTTATAATGCAATATTCATTATTTTCACATTTATGCTAATATTTGGCAACAAATTGTGCAAAGTTGTTCATTATTTTAATTATTTAAATCACACGATTTTGTAAAAATTTTATTTGTTCTTGATGAGGACGTATGTGAGATATTGCTTTAAGTATTTCATACTTGAAAATTTAATCTCTGCAATTATTATTACAAAAGACACTATATTATGATACTAGCATACATAAATTTTCTTTGCAAATATTACTCTCTCTAATTTATTTTGCAATATATATCAAATTAAGTTAATTCATATTTTATCGTTAGCAAAAGGCTTGATATTTTCCGCAAAATGCCAGTTTTGCTTAAATACCGTATCTGAGCTTCTTACCGAAATATTTTAATCTTTATCTTTGTAAGTATTTTGTACAATATATTCTCGCAACTTAATCCGCAAAAAATTTAAGCATATCTCTACTTTCACGATACAAAAAATAAGATGCACTGAAAAAATTTTATAAGTTATCAGATTATATTTTGAGGAATATATTTCTCGGATACAACCGTCAATTAACGAAATTATAACAACTATACAACATAACTCTCAAATATATGCGAATATTTTGTGCAAAATTTCAAATATCGCATAGAATATTCTCTTATCTTGCTATCCCAATTTTTATATTTGCTTAATTATGTAATGCTATATTATACATTTTTTTAAATGTCTACATGTCAATTGTGACATATATTCAAGATACATTTTGCGTACATTTGTAACTGTTTCAGATTGTAATATTTCTTTCAATCCCTTTTGTGCATCGGTTCAGTTACGATGGCATATGAATCTCTTCCTTGTTCTATTTTATACAATTTAGAGATAGATCTCTTTTCTTACTTCATAATTACATATACAAAATATTTTTTTTCGATATTTATTGCACTACCTATTTTGATTTATTTTGAGGTAAAATGTATTTTTGATTTTACAAAAAATAAGTCTCGCGTATTGCAAATAATTCTATGTCAATATACAATATTTTTTTGTGCTTTATCAATTAAGTAATTAATTTGCAAATACTATTATAATATTTTTTTTTACACAAGCAAAAGTTCTGATAATTAATGTTTTGTTAATTTAATATTTTTCTTAGTTATTGTCTTTTTGGATAAATATTTCAAAATTATATTTTTAATAGAAATAATGATATTAATGATGAATGTAAAAAAAGTCTGATAAAAAATTGGAACGTATAAAATATGTGTGTCTAAAAATAAATAATATATTTTAATAATTTAGAGCATAATATAATAATCTTGTAATAACAGCAGTAATAGCAGTTGTAGTAACAGCTAAATTGAATATTGTAAAATAATTGGAAGAAATTAGAGCATGAACGAGATTCGTTAAGAGAGAAATGTACATATATATATATAGAACAAGGAAGAGAATCGTTTGTATCGATTCGTTCCTAACTACATTATAGTCAGCACCCTATCTAGATCCGGATATCTAAAATAATGTGCTTCGATATATCTCTCGTAGGTATGTGTCATTGGAATTTCTAATGGTACCTTTAAATGTTTATGAATATATAATTCCTAAATATATATGTATATATATATATATATCGCGTATAGTATACTTTCGGGATATTAGCACGATATTTCCAACGATTGCGAACCATTCACGTAATTATTATGCACTCGATATATAGAAACTAATATATTATGACCTTTGAAATTGTTAAAACAAAGTTTAAGCCAAATAACAACTTGATAAAAAGATTTAATACAAAATTAAATGTTTTACACAGGATGTCTCAGAACTATCATCACTTTTTATGAACATTTTTTTTATCTAAACATAAAGTTTATTTGGATAAAGTGATTAATCATTTTTTATAATTCTATTACATACAAATATTATTTTAACAAAATCTTAAATTGGATATTAGTTATTAAGATATGTAACGCGCGTTATAATGTAAAAATTTATCGAAAAATGATTGAAAAACTTCAGTGAAATTTTTGTTAAATAGGATTTGACTGTAATATTGTTGCACATACGATAATTGGGGAATCAGATTAGTTAAACTTTAAAAAATGTGTTCTTATGACGACTATATGTAATATAAAACTTAAAGATTGTAGTAGCTGATCATTATCATAAGAATTATAAGAGAGAAGTATTATAAGAGAGAATCACATATCTGATAACAAAGTTTAGATAACTAAAGAGGTAGCAGAAAGAGAGATATTTTTTGTGCTTTGTAGATTATAATTTGTTATTTGCAAACAATTTTCTTTTTGCATATCGGCGTTGTTCGCGTGCCTGAAATTTCTTGTGACACAAATAAAATTGATATTTACACAACAATTATGAATGTGCATCGCGTGAGATAAAAGGTTTTAAAATTGCATCTCTGAATCTTTAAAATGGTCGTCCAAGCGTACATATCTAATCGTAAGTGTAGCATGTGTTACAAAACTTCTGTGTGCCTAATTGACATTTAAATTGATTTTAATTTTGCCAGATATTATTAAACATTTTTGTTGATAATTATTTTAGATAATGATTAACGTTTTGTCACACACATAATGTCTTGCCAATTGTTTATTGCAATTTCGAACAGAATATTGAGAAAATATTAAAAATATCTTGTTTTTTTCTTGAGTAACTGTGTGTGTGAGAAAGGCTAGATTTTTTTTCAAAAAGCCGTACTTTAAATTGGCGTTATCGACTTTATTCTCACTTTTGTCTTATTAGTACGATCTCGTCAGATATTCAAAATTTACAAAAATTTTTTTTTTATCTTTTCGTATGATTTTTTGAGACTACTTTCATAATATTTGTTTAATATTATAACACTTTTGTTATTTCATATATTCTTATTTTGTCTTTTTCTTTTTCTCTTTTTTTTCTCTTATAATTTTACGAGTCTTTTGAACGAATCTCGCACTTTACAAGCGCTTTCATTTTCCGAAGGTAAAACAACGCTTTTATATATAAGTTCTTATGCGATTAATTAGTGCACATTCAATAGAATCTTTTAAAATTTCTAGGAAATATTTAAATTGGAGAAAGAAAATGATATGTCTGTTTTATATATGTTGTGTGTGTGTGTGTGTGAATATAAACATTCAACATGTATCTTATATTAAACAAACTTTTCTATGTGCAATAATTCTATATTGCCTTTGTATCATATATTTTGGGATGCTCTGAGAATGCAAAATAATGCAAAAATAATAATCGTGAGAAAATGTTGCTTAATTGTTAAAATTGCTCCTCTTGCCACACGAAAATATGATTTTTGAATATATAATGGAGTCTTTTATCATTTGAATAATCATAAATATTTACATCAAGAAATATAAGAGTTTATTCATTCGTTGAAAAAATTATATATCCGTCATAAAAGATCAATTCCACGTTCACATCGTTAATGTATCTATATATAAGATGTTCCAAAAGAAATGTATATCGATTACAGATTCTTTTTTTTTCATATAATTGCATTCATCTTTTTCTTTAATAAAAATTTAATGCTTTACTTACTTACAATACATTTAAACATTAAAACTTAATATTATTTAAGTAAAAGAATTTTGTATCGAATATTTAATATTTGGGCATTTAATTTTGTTAAAGAAAAAAGTCAATCTGAAACTCAGGATTTGATAATAATAATCTTGCTATCGATACACACATTTTCTGATACGTATTCTACGAAGTCGACGTGACGGTTTATACCTTCTCGAGCTTCTCAAACTAGACTCTTTTTAGAGCTATAGTCACTTTATCGGCTTACTGTTTACTTCTCTCTTGCTTTCAAAGTCTCGTAAATCAACGCGGAATAAGCAAGTATAAGTAAATGTTGATCCGCGTCGTCTAGCAGCCGTAAAAAGATTTTATTTGCCGTAAATCGCTTTCTTGCAAATATCGCGGGCGCAACCTCGAGTCTTACGTTTAATGCACTTACGTTTACTTGACTCGAAAACGCGTTTCCCATTGCAATAATCGGAACCTGATCCCGATCTCCTGCTCCGCGACGAAAGTTACCATTTCTTCCTCGATTCTTATTAGGTATGATCGGGCTTTAGGAAATGTTGCAATCGTCAGCGTGGGCATCCCTGATCTGTTGTTTCGTCTTTCTCGAGGCGCGTCTGATCAGGCTGCGACTACGCGGCTTGCTCTTCACCTCCTCGGTGACAGCGACGACGCTGGAGCCCTGAGCTGCGACTACTTGCTGAGGATTTCCACCGGGACCCGCGCTGCCGGTCCTGCCGCTAGGACTGCCGGACCTTCCATCGCGATAAAATAATAATAGATGTAAATTAGACACGGTCGAAATTACTGTTTATTCTTTGATTAACGTTAGAACTATTCCCCCGGTACTTTTTTCAATTATATCTTTGTCGCGCGCGTTTATAGCCTTAATTTAATTTGTGAATAAAGGATCAATGACTCTTTGATAATAAGAATTTATATTATCCGGAAAGAGAGAGAAGATTACCGTAACGCAAGAAAAGTCAACTTTTTCAAAAAAAATTTAAACATTTAGAGCAAAGTAAAAAAAGTAATATATATTATTTAAAATTTGTAAGACAATAGATTTATAGCACTCTTCACATTACGTTGTTATAATTAATTTATATGTAAATTCTGTAAATTAAATTATATATATATGTATATATACAATGAAAAAACATGGAATAGATTAAAAATTGTATAGCTTTTTATTAAAAAATGCTGAAAAATATAAAATTTAAGTCAAGGCACATTTCTCGGGGCATAAATCTAAGAGGAAATATTGAGTATTTAATAAAATTAGTTTTTTCAGCTATAGTATTTTTTTCAAGGATGCAATGTTTTCCATGAGAATCATCTACGGAAATATAGACATTCCGCGCATGTATATGATTCGAATAGCTGCATAAGAAAGTAGCACAATGTACAGCGATGAATAAAAAGAATCGAGCGGTACGTGCAAGCTATCGAATATCAATAATAATATATATGAGAAATAACAAGAAATAGCGAATATTTTCCAATGCAATATAACATAATCTGTTGACAATCCGAAATAAATATCTAAATCGTAAGCGATATTAAACGAATTATATAATTATGTTTACATTCTCGTACGCTCCAACAATGGCGATTGGCGACGCGGAAATACATATCGAAAATCTTTTAGATTATTAATATTTGTTTTGTTAATGTCAATTTGTTCTTCTCGATCGATAAAACGAATCGCGATTAAATGGCAGGTTTTCGAATGAGAGTTGCATGTGTGTGTTAGATTGAATAAAGTTTGCTGTCGTTATACTGTCGTTTTAAAAATCGTGATGTAATCTTATTTAGCACGCATGTATATAGTTCAACGAGTTCTTTTTCGGATTTTTAACGATATATCGGGCATCGAATGCGTGACTTTTCGAAGCTATTCACGAAACATGGTTTATCCACGTGTCAATTACACGTATATGTTTGATTCAGATGTTATATTCATCTTATCGATTCTACCGACTGAACGTATTATGCAAATTGTGCTATGAAATTATTTAATCAATCTTAAATATTAATTATGATTTTTTTATATACCATAGCCTTTTTTGACAAGTATCATAAAATCAAGAAAATAGCTGATTATAATTAAATTTAATCTGTTTCATACATAAACTTTGATAATAGTATCATTATAATTATATTCTTTCTGTTCTTTATCTCTTCCTATGTTATCATTTTCGATGAGATAAAGAGAAGGAAAAGAATTTAATAATCCATGTTTATTATTAAGCGATATTGACAGGCTCCTAAATTCATATTCTCATCTTATATTCTCATCGTGAATTTAATCCAAAACGTACCTCTTACAATTCTGAGTTCTCATTGAGTTTTACGTTGGATGCAATCTTCATCTTAAGCCTGCCTGCATCAACAATCTAGGTTAAGTAAGCTCAGGGATTCGCTATGTCTTTCGAGATTACAGTCCTATCTATGATGATTACGACGCGGAAAATTTACTTGATCATCACAATTAATATTAAGTGATTTTTATAACTGATTTTTAAAACGGTAAAGAATTAGGAGACGATCTGCCACACACACATTCAATTTTACGATCTTTTTTTAAATATACGTTATATATTTTTTTAGAATATCGTAACACATGTAAGACTTATTTCATGAGTAAATTTAAACTTTTCAATCTCTTTCTCTTAATAACAAGACAAATTTCAAGAAATTTTATGTTCTTAATCTTCAATACTAAGTATCTCGATAGAAGAACTAAGCCTTAAATTAGAATATTGCTTGAGCGAAGTCTACTTGTTATTAAACGAAAAATAAGAGATTTTGTTATCTATTCTTAAAATCTAATTTGCGAGTAACTATTTATTTTCATACAGCTGCCCTATAATTTGATAACTGTCTTGTTTCGTTAAAAGTAAAATCAGTTCTAAATTTAAAGGTTTTACTTGAAGCGGAGCTCACGTATTCAATATACATTATTATGTATATAAAAACACAAAAAGATTAATGACTTCATCAAGAGACAATAACATTAGCATTACAATACCTGCGAGATCCGTATGCCGAACATCTCCTCCTGAGTCCCGACTCGTCGACCTCGCCGGTGGGATTTTTCGGCACAATTCTGGAAAGCGTGACGAAACACCTGAATATATCCTTAATGTTATAATCGTCTTTTGCCGAGCATTCCATCACTTTAGCGCGTAACTTGGGTAATTCGCAAAACAGCCACTCGCTTACATCCTCGATGGGTACTTCCCTTCGGGCCGGCGCCAGGTCGAGCTTGTTCCCGGCGACGACTATCGGTACTTCCTGTCAAAAGATAGCTACGTCCTATAGTCTTATTTACCAGAAAGGCAATCCTTTTACTCGTCAAGTATAATTTAGAGAAAAAAAAATTTAACGAAGAAATAATATCTTATTTTCTTTATCAATTTTAAATATCATATTATGTAGATATAAATTTTTAAAAGGACGAAGCAAAAGCTTGTCTAGATCGCAAGTGTAATGTTGAATATGTGATACACTGTACGAGATTATGGATCGCGTGCGAATGAATTTACTTAATAATGCCACACCTGAAAATCGGGTCGTTGTTCTCTCACTTCTTCGAAGCAACGTTTCACGCACTCAAAGCTCGGTAACGATGTTGTTGCGTACACGAGCAAGAATGCGTGGGCGGTGGCTATGCTCAACCGTCTCATCGCGGGAAACTGCAGGTCACCTGTAGTTTTAAAAGCGAAGGATCAGCCAGTCTATAGGAGATTGAAAAAATTTTCCGCGTAATTTACAGAGTAGGTTTTTAGAAAAAATTGCCATACAAAATAATCCTTTACTCATAACTTGATTCCTGATTCTTTTTGTTCAATGAACGTATTGAAATTTACAGTTATTTATACCACAATATTTTTCAACGTCATCAGAAATTTCGTTTTATGTTATTATTCTTGCTGAATTTTCGCTGTGTAATATAACTCACAATCAGTCTATACACGATGCCTATAATGCGTTTATCTCTCAGCTTTTTCCGATACTCGTTGCTCTCTCGCTAAAAAGTCACCGGGAAAATGCAACTCCGATTGGATCAAGGATATCCTCGTGTACATTTATATATGTATATATGTATGCTACGCGATACTGACAATGAGTTACACTTACTTTATACGCGATTCTAACGAGATTGAAGTTTCAGTCAAAGTTCATTTCGTTTATAGTCAAAGTGTTGAGTTTGAAAATAGATATACGTAGTATCACATAGCATGCAATCTTTTTCATCATATTGTATCATAAAATCAATGATAAGAGAAGTATTTCAGGAAATTATTATATAGTAGATTTATTATATTTTTCTGTTGGAGCTTTTAAAGTAGATCCGAAAATTGGTTTAAATCGGTTTAATAAAATTAATAATATAATTATGTCAGATTTATATAATCACTTAAATAATAACAATTAACACACACACACACACACACACACACACACACACACACACATGCTCTTATTTATATAAAATAAAAAACTTAATTGTAAAACGATACATACGTTTTGAAAGTCTCAATTTTATTTTACTTTCATATTTATTAGTAAATAACCTTTGATAATCAATTACACATATATCATATATCACGTAAAAGAAAACACGTTCGAAAGATCACGTTAAAACAAAAAAAAAATATGTTTAAACTTCTATAAAATGTTTTTCTATGATTTATTAAATTAATTATTTATAATTTTTTTTAAAATGTTTTTCTATGATTTATTAAATTATTTATTTATAATTTTTTTTATTTTTGTTTTTACTTTCAAATCTATATGTGATTAAAAGAAAATTGCGAAAATGGTTCTTTATTTCAAAAAACTTTAAAAAATTAATATCCTTTTAAAAATATAATAGACATATTTTATTTTCTCCGCGAAATTATTTAAAAATTATTGAAATCGTTTTATCGAAACGTCTCATATGCAACAATTCATTGGAGCAAAAAGAGACGGATAGCGGTGGGGGATGGTTCGTCTTACCCGCGGTATCCAAAAGATCGACCTTGAGGGTCAGGGTGCCGAGGACGCATTCCCGCGAGTACAGATCCTCCACGGTGGGCCGGTATCGCTCGCTGAAACCCTGGCCGAGCAATCGGCGTATAATGGCGCTTTTGCCGACCCCGGCACCGCCGAGCACCACCAGCCTGATCCTCTCGAGATCGGCCATGTTCTGCGTTTGGTCGAACTCCGTTTGGCGGTGATCTCGAGCACGACCGCGAGAATGCTGCAGCTTCAGGAAGGCATCACACCAGGGAGGAGGTCGATCGAAGTATTCTCCTCCTTGCAATCCAATATAGTTACCTCACCCGTCCCACCACCCGGCGCTCTTCCTTCGTCCGAAGGATACTAATTTGATTCCCCGCGGCGGTTCCTGACCTAGACCCCGCGGTCAGGAACGAGTCGATGGTGGTAGTCGCTCTTGATCGGGATCGATCAACCACGATCAACCGCTTCGAGACGATCGCGTTTTTTCGCCCGACGACGTTGCCCGTCGTCGACTTCTCCATTCACTTACCCCGTTTACGCTGCGATCCTGGGGGATCTTGCATCTTCCTCGGGGAAATTGCGACTGTCCGCCCGGTCCGCGACTCGAATTAAAACTCCTGTTGAAAAATAAAAAGAATCGTCCTGTTATTATTTATTTACACGCGCCAATATTTCATTGGCAAAATCTAATCACGAGGAAGGAAAACTCGATGTAATGCCATTTGGGAGTACCAAACGGATCGGAAATTGGAATAAACATTGTTACTATCGGGACGCCTCGGGCTAATTGAAATATTCCGTTCGGAATAACAAGTTTTATTGAGGCTATAGCTTTCATATTTTATAAGACATCCGATATATCAGTTATATATATATATAAATAGAAATAGAAAATCTCGGCGGTTTTTTTAAGATCATACACACACACACACACACACACACACACAATAAGCAAACGAAATATATTATAATGACTTAATTAAATATATATAATATTTTAATTGTTAAGAAAATTATAATCAAACTCTCTAATAAAAATATAGATATGAATAAAATCGTATTTCGAATATTTTTGTGCAAAATAAAGTTGCTCATGGAAATTAACGTAGGTCAAGAATATCACGAAATTCTATTTATTTAGGCAGAAATATATAAACGTATATACACAATATATATACCATGATACGCTAATATTTTTTACATTTCTTTTATGGCAAATGCATATGAAAAATAAATACGTGACGTTCTATGAAATGCATTGCGGTAATGAAAAGAGATTCGCCGCCGGCATGCATCGCATAACATTTTAATCTCAAGAATATTTTTCTACGTAGTTATCGACAAATTTTTGCTGTTTAATTTTAATCTTCTGTTATCATGGTATCTGCGTTTATTATTTTACGTCTCCCTTTTTGGTTCTCTTTAATTTTTAATATAGAAGGATATAATTGTTAATTAATATTTTTAATTATAATTCACTGTAGCGGCATAATGATATATATTTACTAAGAAAAATTTTGGTCCATAGCATCACGATTATTGATAAAAACCTTCCCATTAATAAAACCATTGTAATGTTCAATATTTGAACATATATTTTGGAAATGAAATTATTGATAAATAACGATGTTGATTTTAATTTAGGCAAAACATACATATATATGCAAATTGTGTGCTAAAAGAAAATTTACGCAAATATAGATTAATTATATTTGAAAATACATTATTTTTTATAAGTAAATAAGTGACGTAGCGATCAAATTGTTATCGAGAAAATCTTTCTAATTAATTCGACTTACACGAACATACATTTTCTTTTAATGAAAATTTATGTGGATACGGGTTAATAGGACTTTAATCCTATCGTGCGCAACTCGGGGCGGATATTAGGAAAGCGTAATGTAATGAAATTCTGCCGGTCCGATGCGATGGTATTTACAATCATGCGATGAGAGAAAAGAAAGCGGCAACGCGATGCGACCGTAACTCATCTTGCATCCTGCGTCGCGAAGGGATTATGAAGAGATAAGAAAGGAACGCGCGTGTCTCGCTCTTTTTTTCTGCGCGATTTATTTTGGTGATCGAAATATCCTTTTCTTTTCTCTCTTTTTTTTTCTATTTCTTTCTTTCTCTATTCCGAGCCCTTCCAGCAAAAGTCACAGGTGGCTGTGCGCGCCGGTGGCCTCCTTTTTCTCCTCTTCGATCGACCTCGCGGAAATCTCCACGGGATTAAAACGTCGCTAAACATGCCGGTGCCAACGACAGCTCCGGCTCTGTTTTATGAAATAAGGCCTTAATCGTCAAGCTCGTTAAGCGCCGCGGAAATTCAGCGCGTCAACCGCGCGCAATTGCGGCCTGGAAGCTTTTTACGCGGAAAAGTTCGTAAAGAGCGCGTCAGACCTGTAAACGCGCGAATGACGCACGTCCGACTCTTCGTCCCGTTTAATGAATTTAACGGCAGCTGTACGTGGCTTTATCGCGCTGCGAAATATATTCATTACGATCCTTTCGATTGTCTCGTTCCGTTAGGGCCGCGTATTTATACTTTTAACAGTTTCAACGAGTTGAGAATAAAGGGGAAATCAAAACAATATACTGAATTTTACTTGCAAAGTATTCGACTTAATATATCATTAGTTATTAATGGATAATTGATTAATGTGTAAAAGAGCTTAAATATTTTAGATACAGAAAAGAGTCGAGCTTATGACATAACTGAAACAGCAAAGAATCATGCGCTTTAAAAATTAAAGAAAAGTTGAAGTAAACGATACCATTATGTCGTAATATGCTTTGCGTAATCAGCAGCTTCTGCGTCTTCTTCTCATTTATATCTTCTATCTTGGTCGATCGTTTGAATTTTAATCCTGTAACAGAAAAGTAAAAAACAAGACTGAAATTAAAACAATCGGAATTTTTGTGTATTTAATTGTATTTATATGTATTACAAATTTTCCGCAAGTCTTCGCTTCTTTTTTTCAAATTGATTAAAATTAAGTAAACCGAGCGAAAGATCAATTAATATATATTGCGCGATCTATCTATCTCAATCGCTTAAATGAGAATCTACAGCATTCCCTGAGCTATTAGGATAATTATTCACATCATTAGTGTTTCTCAGGATTTTCCTGCATTCGTATTATCTATTAAATTCTGCTTGTATAGCGCTGCGTACATTAATGATATCTTTTTAATAAATTTTTGTAACTATGTCGGCATTACGATCGACGTTTATAAAATTATGACATTGAATAATTACGAATAAACATAAGTTTTATTCCTCGGAATCTTTCTTATATAGATTTATAATAAATATTTATGATTAAATATAAAATTAAATTTATAATAGCAACAATTTATTTTATCTAATTTGCCCATTTAGCTATCACGCGCTAATGCAAATTAATTTTTGAGTTATTACTTTGTACAATATAAGAAAGTTATGTTATCGTTGGATGATCGCTGCGGAGAGAAATAGTGACATCTTTTATGTGATACTCGTGAAATGAATACTATAGAGACTGAAATGGAAAGAAACTCGACTAAAGGATTTCTCGATCATCCGTAACGCGGATTTGTTCAAATATTGTATTGAACACAAAAATGAAACGAGATCAAATCATTTCAGAATTCGTTTCCGCAGATTTTTTTAAAATCTCGATTCCGTTTCAGGAAACTTGGAACACATTTTATATAGATAATCGTAAATCCAACAGGGATTTTTTAAAGAAGTTTTGTGTACTTCATACCATCGAAAAAATTTATCGTAAATTTATTGTTTACTTGTGAATTTTAGAGGCAATTTTTCCTTAAAGACAATATTGAATGAAATCATCATTTGTTGTCTGTCTTTTAGAACAAAATATTCTAATATTTCTTATTATTTCTTATCAATATTTTGCAAGTATTATTAAATATTTTTTTGATATGCTATATTCTTTACACAGTGAAAAATTCACTTTAATTTAACACATTTCTGAAATGTTATAGGAAAGTGCTTTAGTTTTGCGATTTTCCTCTAGATAGACGAAATTATGTATCTTATGTATTGGTCGTTTTTACTTGGGGATATGGCCGGGGATATTTATTCAGGGGCGTACGAAATAATAAATTTCACTAATGGTTTTGTAATATCGTGCGACACCCTACATGTATTTAAAAACTCGTTATTAGACCTATCTTTCCGTCCGTTAACCGATTTCTGCTAACATCAGCACAATTTACATAATAATGCCCGAAAATTCCTGCACGGCTTTCCCGAACAGTCGTTAATTCGCCGCTCGCGTCTCAAACAGACAACAAATGTTCCATTGCCTAATCGCATCACGTCTCTCGATACTACTAATGCTTCTTTTCCTCTCCCCATAATAAATGATATCCCTTTAGTAATGTTAGAGTGTAATGTGTGTGTATTGCGATATCCGAAAATATAAAAAAGGTTTGCCCGAATCACAGAGACGCAGTTATCATGGATGTACAAAAGGGGAGCTTACGAGTTTTCTATGTCTTGCTTATCTTCTTTCCGATATAGGAAGAAAATAAAAATATGAGAATATCACATATAAAAAAAAATTTATCTCTCAAGATCTTCAATATTAACTTAATTGGTTACCAACCGCAAAAAATAGAACAAATAAATAAATTTAATCTTCTTTATATAGAAAATATTATTTTAAAAATATTAATAAAGCTATAATTTTGTTGGTTTGATTGTTTCTCGAATAGTGCAATGAATGTAAACACATTACTTGATGACGATATACTTTTCTTGGGACAAAATCGTCAATTTTATATACGTTATAAAGCTCCATTTGATTTTTTCCAAAAATATATGTGATGTGTATATTGTGTGTGTATATAATATATAATAAAAATTATTATTATTAATGTTATTAATTATATACATATAATTAATAATAATTATATATATAATTAAGAAATTGATATTTAAAATGTTAACAAAAATAGAAGAAGAAATTTGTCAACAGACGTGATGTAGAAATTCTAACGACGTCACTGTTCCAGATGTTTCGGATCAAATAAATCTTGTAGTCTTGTATTTCTCGAAGATATTGTATTAGTTTCGTTATAAACCATCTATTACAGTAACTGAGATAATGAGCATGGATAATTGTACAATCCGATCTTAGCAAGACATGCTTGGATCAGATTCAAGTACATCTAATAATTCGAATATTGATTTAACCTTGATATTTTTACTAGAATAAGAATATAAAAGAACAATAATCTTAAAGTTTATTACCGAACGAAGTTAAATAACTCAGAAAAAGGAAACAAACAAGATTATTCGGAATATGTATATTATATTTATATTAAAATGTGTGTGTTTTTTATATAAAGTTAATTTTATTTATTGTAAAGATCAAGCTTTATTGGAAATTTTATATATTTATTAACTCTGCTATTTTTTAATTAATTTGACATATGTTTCACTTTCATTTGGCATTTCACAATAACATTTCAATTTCATAGAACTGATATTTACGATGATCCGCTATTTAATATTCTGATAAATTTCGTGTTAACGAATAAAATGATAAATGATATAGCAAATGTCACTTTGAAATATGAAATTAATTATCCTTAACAAGTTCTCGCCTTTCTCTCGCGAGAAGTCAAATTACAGCAACATTGTTAAACGGTAATTTAATTCGCCTCGCAATAAAATCGATTATAAGATACATTTGTTTCGACATAATAAAATGACGCGTAATAGCAATAAAATACTGTCAGTGCTTTATTTTATAAGTGTTCAATGCGTCTTTTACGCTATAAAGATCGCGAGAATCAAAGTGGATTTATTGCGGCTATCAAATGTACCGTGCTCGATCGATTGATGTGAACAAAATGTAATAAAGTTTATTCCATTTTTCGGATCCTTCTTTCGTTGCTTGACTTTATTGCGAGAAAGAACAAGAAATTGACGCGAGAAAGAAATAGCAGCGAAAACTGACTCGAGTGCACTTTGGTATTAAGAACGATAAAAAGAATCATCATGAGATTTATGTACGAGATTAACATAATCTTGTTTCGTTTTAATGCATTTTCTGTTAGTATTAATATTCCGTTATTTTTCAGATCTTTCTCGCGGGACTTCTGTTAACACGATGTAAAATTCTGCGCAAGTAAACACTAAATAAAAAAATTTTTTTCAAATGTCTATTGTGGTGTGTGTATGTGCAACATGATTGCTAAAGAGATAAATTGCAACGAGTATTATTATACAAACATTTGTGTAGTTTTAATTACTTATTTTAAACAATTTATGTTTTTTAGGAGAAATATTATGCGGTACCTCTTTATTGAGATAAAAACATATGTATTAAAATACATGTATATGTACATTATATTTTTCCATTTATGTAAATTTTATTGAAAAAATATTAATTCTCATAAAAATAATTAATTCACATATAAAAAACAGGAATTTGAATCAACGAAGTCAAAGAATTAACATTACGAAAATTTTTGTATATCACACATCTCCCATTAAGTATACACGATTATATTAGAATTATTCGGTTTTTTTTTTTTTATTTGACATTTAATGCAAAGTATTATTATACTTTAAGTTGGCGATAGCTATTATTTTACTCGAATTATTCGAGCTATAAATGCCGTTAATTTAGTCTGTTCGTTTGAGCGAGTGCTTCGAATTTTCACTTTATATGATCGCCATTATATTTGCAACGGAATGCAAGTATCTGCATATCGCGGATTTAATTTTTGCTAAGTTTTTCAAGAGTTTTTTTCCAAGAGCAGAACAGTTTCCTCGGCGTGTGTTCACATACAATTATCTTTTTGAAAACTTTATTCGCGCACGCTGTCAACGTTGTTCTTGAAATGCGGAACTTTATAAAAAGCCCAGGGAAAAAGACTGTCGTGTAATTACGAAGGCGGTGGAATGAGAAAAGAGACGAGAAATACTTAAATCACCAGCGTTATAAATGGTCGCAAGTTTTCTAATATTTCTTCCCTTGTATTTATTCTGGACAAACTTCATGGCTAACAGTACTCCCTGGAATACGTTTGAGTAAATAAAGTAACTACGATGTTAAAATAGAAACGTGTAGCTCGAAATTATTGAAAGTTATTTTATGTTCACCTTGATCTTGCTCTAATTACCTAAGCATTGAAATAAAAATTTAAATTTAAATGGATAATTCTTTTTCCATGTACGCACGTGCGCTTCTTTTAATTCTTTAGTATAGAGTAAAATACATTAACGTATTGCACGGTGATTCAAAGACGATGTAATTATACCCGACGATATAATATATAAAAATACATATTCCAAAGTTTTTTTTTTTATATAAATATTTTAAAATAATCTTTAATATTGTAAGAATATAAATCTCAGATGCTAAGAAGCAAATTAAAATTAATTTGAATCTTCGATAAGCATTTATCATTGTTATTTTTTCTTTCGAATAAGCAATTTATTTTATAATAATAGAATCTATATATATGTATATATACATATATATATAATTTCAATAGATCAATTAACTTCGTCTCACACCGCAAACGCGGTGTAAATTATTACGCCAAATGGGCAGATGCAAATCGAGGTAGTTAAAGGACGACGGTGTTAACTATGATCTGTGATCCCTTCGAGCGCGTTGACGGACGTCAATCTATTAGATAACGTCGGCTCGGTATCCCTCTGTTATCCATCGAGTTTGGGGAAATTATGTAGAGGACGTAAGCTCATTATCGGCACTGACATATTTTCGCGGTTTGCGGCTTCTCTCTGCGGCGTATGCCATTCGGCGGGCTCGTGTCCCGGAATTACGTATGTATGCAGGTGCGGTGGTATGCAGCTCCGCACTCCCCCTCCCTTCCC